AGTTGGTGGTTTAGTGGATTAGCGTCATTGTATAGCAAATCTGCTCAGTTAGCGGATTACCCTCAACGGAACTTAAATTCGAGGCTCACCTGATGCCAGAGCGCTGGCAAGTGCAAACGAGCGCGGATATCAGGTGGGTACATCTGATTGGGAATCGACAACGGGTAGGCACGGGCACAGCCTTGTAGGCACCGGGTGCATTGGATCAGAAAATCTTCCAGCCAGTGAAGGCCTTTTGACGTTGCATTGGCTTTGGAATGAGTGAGAGCTGTCCGCATCAGCTGGTGAACGGCTATCGGCTCACCTCGATCAGGGCACATCGCTAGCACTTTATTAGCGATAATAATAGCTGTGCACACAGGCATAACTGGGTTATGACCGCACCTCGGGCTGGAAAGGTGTGAACCGCCGGGCAGCAGCCGTTCAGCACGTTGAACAGCCAGCCAACCGTAGCTGATTAATAGGCGAATGAATGGGCAGGGCTCACAAAGTGCCACCTGCCAAGACCTGAGGCACGGCGTCAATATTTCGTGATGGCACCTGCTGCAGATCGTGAGCGGTTGCGCCACTGGCCGTGCTGAGGACGCAGGGCTGGTCACGGACAGTGTCGAAGGCGCTGCAGGTTATCCAAGGTGGAGAACTCAAGCTCGCCTGGGTGTAGGCTGGAAGGCGAACACCACACAAAATTGTAGCCCGCATGATTTGCCGGCTAATTTAATGCGTGTTCTTTTGAATCCGCAAATCGGACCTTCTTTGAATGGTGGTGCTTTATATTGATATCTATGAGTCAATTAGGACTCTCTTATTTTCCAGATCGAGCCGTTGCATCGCACGATGCTTTTGGAAACAGGGCCATAAGTAACAGCAACATAAGTAACAGTTCATCAAATAATGAACAGTTACCCGGAAGAGCGTTTCCTTTGAGCAGCTAACGCCGTCTTCCCCGTGCCAACCGAAACACGCGGCGCATGTTTCGGTTGTCCCAAAACATTATCATTGCCCGACGGGAAGGCCCAGGCGTCGCGCGGAGCCCCTCCCAGGCCGGCGGCACCCCGATGACCATCAAAAGCGGCCGGCAATCAGCGCCATCGCCGATGCACGAGAAGCCCTACATCTGCAGATAAGCAAACACACATCAATGGCGGGCTTGGCCGACGCGGACCGTATAATTAGGAGCGGCGCGGCTGCCAGCCGCCGCTGATAAATGATGGCTGCAGCAGCCGAGCGAGAGCTGGTGCTGCAAACCCGCGTGACTTGGCTCCGGCGCTGGAGAACGCCGAGCTGGAGGTGGCGAATTGGTCGCTGTGGCGCCGCCGCCAGTGATAATAGGCGTCCTGAAGTAATGGATCACGTCCAGTAAAGGATCAGTGCCTCGAGACGTGGTTGAGTGCTAATTTGCTAGCTCATGCGCGCCCGAACACAAGGAACTTTGGACAAGCATGTCCATCTCAATGTACCTAAATAAAATATCTTCAAGCTGAATTAACACAAACAAAAAACGGCCAGCTGTAGCCGCTGGGAGAGCCCTCTTAGGCCAAATTGGGACTAATTTTGATATTTGGCGGTTTGCATGTAGCCCAGGCCAAGCAGTCCGTCTATAGCGGTCCGGTTCACCTGCCACAAACTCAGGCTCTGAGACAACCCCGCACGCTCGGCGGCCACCTGGTGTTATCGACACTCGCAGCTTAGTCCCCACTCCCACCCTCCCCCGGCACACGACACCCCATCGCGCACACCGCGGCGCATGCAGTGCTTTATCTTGATTGCATTGGTGCAGCCGAGGAGCGCGGATGGTTACCGTTTCGCACAACGCTGGGTTTGTGTACCGTTCGGCGCTCGCGCAGCTGCGACGAACGGCCGCGGCTTATCATGTAACACCTCAATGCGCCAATACTAACATCACTAGACCAAACACTATCCCTCTTCTATTAGTGAATGATCGCCCGACATGAGTAGTGACCATGTGTCTCTCCACACCCCAGTCCCTGGCCTGATACCCCTATCTATGTTGTTCTGCCTGCGTCTCTTTGCTCCCCCAGCCAGCGGGTTCAGGCGGTGACCGGCGGTGTCCACCCCTTCCCTCCTCCCCCGGCAGGCGACGGCGAGGCGCTCCCCCCCCCCCCCCCTGATGGCCCAGCCGCCCGGTCTGGGCGCGATAACGACGACGCGTACTGATGCGAGCGACACCGGACACCGGATGAAATCAGAGCCGGACGAGAGGGCTGTTTCCGCTCACAGCGCCACCGCGGCGGCGTCTGGGAACACTGAGATCAGATCGGCACCTCTTGCCCCGCTGCAGCCCCTATCAGCTCAATCGACGCCCTCATTAGAGCAATGGAGAAGACGGGAACGAATATCGGCCGGGATTAAATCTGTTGTGCTTGCAGGATTAGCCGTTCTCAGTCAGGAATTAGCATTCTTGATTCACCGAGACTTTCAAATGCTAACGGTGTACGTCTGTCTGTACATGAGTGCGGAGTGGTGCGCCCGGGTGGATATGTGGGTTTGTGTGAGGGTAGGGGAAGGGGAGGGGGGGGGGGGGGCATCGCGCGGTTCCTGCGTCTAGCGTAATTAACATTTCGATCTTGGTTTCTGTAGGCAGCAAGGGATAGTCGGTTCAGCAGACCCGAAATGTGAGTTTCACGTGACAGTTCTGTCTGTGGAACTGCAAGTTACACTGTACCCAGCCTCTAAACAGCATATGCCGTGGGAGATAACTATTAGCATTTTATCAGTTCGAAGGAGGCAGCATTTTAAAGAAGTGCTGCAGTTGCAGCACGCTTCGTAGATATGACCAACTCCTGCTTCATTTTTACCAAATAATTCAAACAACAGCAATCGTCATCTTCGATGCAACTGCAAAATACAGCTTTTGGTTCGTGCCTACATGCGTCGTAAATACTAAAACAATTGGTAACTGAGCTTTGCAAGAAGAGTTCTTTATATCCGGAGTCTTCTTGTTGGTTTTTTTTAGGCCAGTACCACGTCTAAATGCCATTTTTAAACTACGTGCCAGTTACAATATAAATTTGGGACTATTCCCACAAGCCATGTCTGTGAGATCCGCAATATTACGGCAAATTTGCACATGACATTCTTCACAGCCGTGCCACACATTTTCGTAATAAGTAATCCATAAAGCAAAAAATTTCAGGCCACCCGTCAGCTTTTCACATACAGGTTTTTAGAAGCATGGAACGTGTCGGGATCAGTTAAAGTCATTTTCGTGAACGGCTTAGACGCGCACACACTGATCTGATCTTTTCTATTGGCTTTGTAAACGGTATTTACAAGTGATCGGTTCTGTTAGCGAGTTCTAACACGATTTCACTAAAAAATTACGTTGCCTCACGCTATATCTCAAATTGACACTTAGTTGCCACATACCAATGCAGTGTAGGCGACTTTTGCTGAAATTACATAAAACAGGGGATAAGTTTTACTGAAGAGGGTTCGAAGAAATGGTCCTAGTTGATACCGATGTGCGATAGTTTCATGACCTGTCTTGTGATGCGAGCTATGTACACGTACAGTGGCCTACAAAAATGCTGACCCAAAGTGTAACGCCTCATATCTTTGGAACTCTTTGTGAGAGGTATTGCAGCCAAATGTTATCGTATTCTGTACCAAATAATTTTTGAAATAGGCGTGGAACTGTTTATTGAACACAGTGCACAGGTCTAAATTGTTTTGAGTAAAATGAAGCAGGAGGCGCGTAACATAAAACATGCAAAATACGCATTTGTTTTGAAAAAAACCATAAACAGCTCGTAGAACCTCCCCATATGAATTGACACTCTGAGCGATTTGTACACAGGAAAAGACCGAAATCTGTGAGCGGAAGAGATTTCTCACCTAAACACAATTTGAGGAAGGGACTGTTTAGTGTTCCAAGAGCTCATTGTAAAAAATCTTATTTTCTACCTGGGTGGATCAATATAAGCTTATCTAAAAACAATGCCCGTAAGTCACGGCACCATCCATTCGGCATATCCAGCTCGCGTGGTTTCAAATATCATTCTGGGGTTTGCAACAACCACCTGTTGTGTGTTACGTGAAGACATACGCGTGTATGTATAGTCATAATAGAAGCATTTACTTTCTAATAGCGTTTATTTCATGAAATGTCGCTGAACCTTCTGCACATTGGTGTAAATACACTTAGACGTGCCCTCGTCGGTAAGACTGCAGACCTGTTAATGTGTTCTCCCCCACTGCTTCTGCGCTTTGGGCTTCTTTGGGCGAGGTTGGTCTCTTCCAGGACAGATAGTCCCGAGGACCGTCACTGGCGCTATTTCGTCTTCCGTTGGATCACAGCGCCTCTGTTGTGCCCAATCGTCACCATTGGCCGGCACAGTTTATCCTAACCAGCTCCCAAAGGATCCCACAATTATCGACGAGGAGGGGGAGGGAGGAGGGGGGCAGAGCAGTTTCACTCAGCTGCCATAAGCAACGTCTGCTCGGCTGGTAAACAGAGATCGGTAGGCGCGGCCTGGCGCGACCAACCGCATACCAGCCGTCTGCGCCCTCCTGGGCCGCCCGCTGGGCCCTGACCACCACTGGCCAATATGCCTTACAGCACGCATGTGCGCAGACCAAAACCTAAACAAACCCAAACCAAGCAAATGCTGAGTGTTTAACTGCAAACTCCTGTCTGTTAAAATGAGGTATCCCTCGAATCTCGGCGGGAAGTGCTGCCACTTGTCACCGCGCACATCCTCGGCCGACAGACATCCCCGCTCCCATCGCGGGGCAGCATCCATCACATTAATAGCTGCGCATTCTGGTCTGCCCGTCCCCTTCCCGCTGTCAGGCAGTGCAGTGACCGGGTGCAGTGCGTGGCGCCGCCGCTCCGCTCCTGCTTCGCGTCATCGGCCGGGGCCGCGGTCTGCCGAGCACCTGTCGCTCGCGCCGACGGCGTCCAGATGGCGCCAGCGGCGCTCCGACTCCGGGCCGCTCTCCACCTCGCGGCCCGGCGCGGCAGTAGCCGGTCCGGGCACGACCGGTCAGGTCCCGGGGCAGCCCGAGCGTCAGGGCCCCGCCGGTGGTGCGCGCAGCACACCAGGGCAGGTGGCAGCACGCGCGCGGTACCAGCGGAGCTGGGAGCAAGCTCCGGGTGCCAGCGGAGGCATCGGCAACCTCCCCGGTGCTGTCAGAAAGTCGTCCGACTGGCGAGGGCAGGTGCTGGCTCTCCGGGGACCGGGAGGTGTCGGCACGCTCCCAGCACCAGTGGGGACGCGCCAGCTCCCTCGCCGGCGGTACACGCGAGCGGTGGCCCTGGCCGTGGGACGATCCTTCTTCAGCGATGCCGGCTGTGTTGGCGGCCGTGTATCCGATGATGGTGTCCGCGGTGACGGTGTTGGTGGCGGCTCTGGTGGCGCCGACGCTCGGCTACAACATCGACGTGGAAAACGCGGCGGTGTATCACGGCCCGCCCGACACGATGTTCGGCTTCAGCGTGGCCGGCTACACGGACCGCGACAGCAGCTGGTGAGTGACCGGGACAGCTCATCGGCTGCGTTGGGTCACCGGCCGGCCCGGGTCGGTGAGGTCACCAGTCGGGTCACCTCATGCGCCGTGCCAGGTCATCAGCCGTTTCAGGTCACCGGTCGGCTCAGGTCATCGATAGGGCTAAGATCTCGGTCGGCTCGGGCCCCTTTCGGCAGCAGAACGGACAGTGTACCTGCAACGCGGAAACGTGCGACTGAGACGGTCCGGCTCACCGTAGAGCTTCGGAGGCTTTTGCCACTGCTCTGCATTAGACGATCATTTGCGCACCCTGCGCGCGAGGAAACAGTTCCGACGTCGCAATGGTTGGTGACGAGCCGAGCCTTATGCCTGATGAAGTCCGCTTGAAGTGTGTAACTGATTGAACCGGGGTCTGATGGAATGCGGAACGGTGTAGTATTGCAGGACATCGTATGTAGTATGGGTGCGTGACGTGCGCAGCATTGAACGATGGAGACAGCCTGTGGGAACTGCAGAATCTAACGTACTTAGGGGAAGCCACTCCAACGACGATATTAGACACAAGGTTGAAGAATGAAGTCGTCGATCTACTATAAACACCGGAATGTTTTTGGAAAATTGTTGTTTACACCAGAAGCTCAGAAAATTGGTGACTTAGTGGCCTATCTAACCACCATTGGGAACGTCACGTAATTGTTTATGACATGCATCAGCCTGATTATGCTTGAACATTCCTGGCCTAAAGGTTTGCAGTTGAACATGTCTTTGGACCTTTGGACATAAATGCTGACATTTTCAACTGTTAGGTATGCTGCAAGGAAATAAATTGCAAGCAATCTAAACATAATCTCCATCCCTCATCATAAGGTTCTGACATACGTATATGTAGGAGCAAATGTTCTAGATCATACGATCCTGTTTCTGACGTTACACTCTCACTTAAGTCGTTCTCCAACGGATCCATAGAAGCTTTTGACCTGATCGGATTCTGTCAATCATGGGTGGGAGCTGAAGTGACATGCTCACTCTTGGTGTGTGCTAAGCCTCGGCGAGGCATGCAAGCTCACTCTTGGTGTGCGCCAAGCGTCGGCGAGGCATGCAAGCTCACTCTTGGTGTGCGCTAAGCCTCGGCGAGGCATGCCAGCTCCTTATGCATTACAGAGCCTGGAGCCCCATTATTTCTGAACTTCAACATGGGACCACAGGCGTTGTGCAGAAAGAAATGGCTCAAATGCCCGATGGACACCCTCCTCTCATTTTTCACTGCAACATCAGAAAGAACCGTGCAAGATTAGACCAACAAATAACAACACATCACCCATTTTTACTCCCCACATCTGCGCTAACAAGTCTGCGCTGGCCGAACGCGCGGATTATGCCTTCCGGCGCTGCCACCGGTGCGGCGTCGGCGCCAGCCCCGGCTCACCTCGCGTGAGCGCATGACACCCACCCCTGTATCACGGGACCCGTCCCCTGGTATCGTCTGTATTTTTAGTGGGTTAATTATAGCGCGGATCGGGTGACATTTAGCGCCGTCCTGAACGTCGGGTGCGCTTCTGCACCATGTGGAGCTGGCACCCGCTGGCTGGCCATGTTCCATCTGGTGCGAGAATCGGCCCCTAGGCCAGTGTCGGAAGCTGCCGTCGGGTTCCTGGCCAGCCCAACGAGCTGCGAGGACGAAGAGTGAAACCCATAGCCACGTTATCAACCAGAAAGATGCCTTTTGCGCGGCGTGGGATAAACGGAGTACTAGCAGACATCTTACTATCATGTGTGTACGACGCGTACGATAACAAACCGTAAACGAATGGAGTTCGTCGCCTTTAGGACTGCCATACCGATGGAAGATGTCAATGCATCGGAATGCCTATTCGTGGGTTTTTCAGACATGGGAGCAATGATGTCTAGTTTGAGTGAATGGCTGATGTCCGTTCGCCAAGGTACAGCTGGCGACACGTGAATGCTGACTTGCCTTGGGTCTGGAGAACTTCACCAGTTTTAACTCAAATGGCTAAGATTTGAGGGTGCATTATAGTTCCGGTAATTGTGATCGAAGCGTTCCACATAACACAAATGCTCTGGATGAGTAACGGTTTTAACATGTTGCGCTATAGCCTATGCAGTCTCCACGCCATATGGCCTCTCACGCGTGCATGGCGGCTTTGGGAGCTGTCGCAGGCTTCATCTCGATCGTTTTTGGACAGGCGGTACAAGCTCAATAGTGGATAGCAGGTACATTTTCCCACCCGGCGCAGTAGCTTGGCTTCATTACCCTTTCCCTGCTCCAGTTATTGAGATCTGGCAATGGGGCCACAAAACGTCCCAGACAAGCGAATATTGCTCTGCGCCCGAGATCGTCCGTGCCCAAGGGAACACGTCGACGCTTTTCTTCGACAAAACGATCGTCTCGTTTTATTCTGTCAAGATATGCTGATCTTGTGTCGCCGCAACGCTTATCATTGGTAACTATACCCGGCCTCCCTGTTCTGAAGCTTTCTTCGCAATGCGAACGCCAGTTTTCCTATGCTCATCAAATGAGGAGAGGAACTTATGGAGATGTTACAATACCGCAGTAATGTATCGCCAGAAAAATCAGCTTGCATGACAGTGTCTCGAAAATTCCTGCAGCCTCCCTGACAACCGTCAACAAGCTTATGAAGTATTCCTAGGTTTCGTGGGGGAAAAGTTCCACAGACATATCAAGGCGCGCACATACACATGGGCGCACGTTTCGCCGGGGTCAGGCGCCGGGCCCAACACAGACGCCTCAGGCCATCAGCTGTGACACGAGGGCCACGGATCTGCAGACCGGCCGGCTGGTGCTGGTGTTGGTGCCGGTGCCGGCGCTGGTGCTGGTGCTGATGCTTGTGCCGTTGCTGGTGCTGGTGCTGGTACTGGTGCTGGTGCCAGTGCTGGCTCTGGTGCCGGTGCCGGTGCTGGCGGTGGTGCTGGTGCCGTTGCTGGCCCCCTGGGCAGAGGCGGGCCGTCCCCGGGGCCTTCTCCGCTGCCCCGTCCGAGCCGCGGGGCTCTCGGTTCATCTGTCGGTCTGGCGGCGGGCCCGCGGGGGTCAGCGATAGTATTGCCATGATCGTCACAGGAATTTACGGAGTCTTATATCCGCACATGCCGTTTGTAATTGGAGTTGATTCGTGAAATGCAGCAGGATGTTTTATGTTCAGTTGGGTCTTGACTTCAAACAGTTGCTTTGCTTTGCAATATTTGAACTCACAGAGTGGTTTAGTTGTTAAGATATTTTGATATTGGTGAAAACCATGGGATGTTGGCGAAACAGAACCACACAAAAACAATAAAACACACCAGGTACCCTATCGTTGTAAGTCCTTGCAAAAAGATCCATAGTACCAGACTTGAGTCTGACTCGGCTTCTGCATCATCAGTGCCGATTCCAACCCACGACCGATTCCAACCCAGACTCTTAAACACCCCAGTCTTTTCCAATATGCGCATGCCCCTTTAGACTCTTCTCACGACAATTGCAATCTGAAGCTTCTGATCTTAGCCGTCCCCCACCTGACGACCCGGTGGCCCAAATCATGCGCCGAGTACAACGCGCGTAATCATTTATGGCGTCTGTTTACCCATCACTCAAGCCGCTGAATCGTTGCACATTTCCCTTTCGGCCTGGATTAGACTCGGCAGATCCTGCACACGTCAAACAGCGAAGGCGACACCTGCGATGACCTGCGGCTGTGTCTGCTAGCTGGCACGCACTGCTCTGTCGGCAACACCGTCCGCATGCCGGTGTAATCATCATAATTTTGCGGCAGCACCCTTTCATCACCCAACTTCACGCCTTCACCCACAATGATGTGTTGACCACTTTAACACCAGGCTCGTCATGGATCACTGACCGCGGGATGACGGTTTCACTTGGCCTAGTGTCTGACGGCGTCAGGCGATAGGGCTGTCAGACGCGCAGGCCCGGATTGAGGGAGGATGACGCGCTGCTGCTCTCAGCCGGCTGCGTGCCGGACTGGAGCGGATCCGAGCGCCGGACTGGAGCGGATTCGAGCGCCGGAATGGAGCGGATTCGAGCGCCAGACCGGAGCGGATCCGAGATTCGGACCGGAGCGGATCCGGGCGCCAGACGGGAGCGGATCCAAGCACCGGGCCGGAGTGAATCCGAGCGCCGGGTCGGAGCGGATCCGAGCTTTGGACCAGAGCGGATCCGAGATTCGGACCGGAGCGGATTCGGGCCTCGGACCGGAGTGGATCCGAGCGCCGGACCGGAGCGGATCCGGGCGCCAGACGGGAGCGGATCCAAGCACCGGGCCGGAGTGGATCCGAGCGCCGGGTCGGAGCTTTGGACCAGAGCGGATCCGAGATTCGGACCGGAGCGGATTCGGGCCCCGGACCGGAGTGGATCCGAGCGCCGGGTCGGAGCGGAACCGAGCTTTGGACCAGAGCGGATCCGAGATTCGGACCGGAGCGGATTTGGGCTTCGGACCGGAGCGGATCCGGGCGCCAGACGGGAGCGGATCCGGGCGCCAGACGGGAGCGTCCCGCGGTCACGTTTACGACGGATGTGAAACTAGCTAAGGGTTAATAGCTGTTGGTATGCCCACTTAATGACTTCTATAGCTCATCGTATTGATTAAATTGCACGTGCATCTGCTTACCGCTGACCAGTCACGCTTGTGATGAAGCTAATGTTATACTAAAATCTGAGTGTGGCTATTAGAGAGATTGGCGCCACCAACAAACCTCACTTTAGCCAAATGCATAGCAGGGTGCGGCGCACTCTCCTGGCTCACATCGTATGTTTCCCTCGGCTATGAGTCTTCTCCAGGACGTCTTGAACCGAAGTCCCACCTTCACACCTTCTAGTTATTTTTCAATCCTCTCGTTACACTTCGTAAGTCTGCGAGGTTTTGGTCTGGGGATGGGCCCAATGCGCTGTGAATACCGCGTAACGGTTCTTCCATTGCGACAGCGTATGCCAAGGCACATGGTGTCATCGTCGGCGACTGAACGCATGGTGGTGATATTCCCAATATTTGGGATTTGTTGGGATTGCGTAATTAGAGTTTGTCATTACTTCGGTTTGTTCCAGGAGAAAACTCCCGAAAAATTTTTTGGTAGGCCTTTCAGGTGTTAAATGGCGTGCGCAAGTGGTTTTTTTTTACAGGCTACTGAACGTAAATGATAGCGTCATTACAAAAACATGCTTTGTAAATTAACCGCCTTCTCGTGGATAAAGTTGTATGCAATAACAGGGCTTCATGGGGCGGGTAAAGTCATGGGCACCCATATGGAATGGGTAGCGGGCTGGACTGGCCGCTTGAAGAAATATTACACCGTGTTACTGCATGTGTTTTTTTAAGTAATAAATAAATAATGTATTTCGGAAACGTCCCCCATGGGGTCCATTCGCATATTTTTCCAATTATAAATGCAAAAGAATAGGTGGGTTTAAGCATCCCTGAAATTCATCAATAATTTAGAGCATACGCGCTCAACAGTGCAAGTAACTGGATAACCAGTGGATACGACATATCAGGAATGGGCAGCGGATGGGTATGGTTATTTCCTTTACCCCACTCACACGCTGTCCATGCCGTCCAGCGCATGGACAGCGCGCGAGTGGGGTAAAGGAAATCTTACATGTGAGGACCTTTCCATGCAACGTGTGCACAACCCGTGAGAAGCCAACTGGCGGCCGCTGCAACCAGGTCTGACCGCATAGGTAAGCATCCCGGTGGACATTCGAAGCCAGGCGTGAATGTAACTCATCGGTGCATTTTCCTTATTCCCAATAACGCTCCCGAGTTTCTCGAGCTCATTCGGGGCTCTTCTCTCACGGGGTGTCGCATCTCACCCATCCATTCATTATCTCATTCGTTTCGGGCTGTCGTTCACGCAGCGATGAGAGTGGATTCGCTTCAGGGCTGCATGCTTGGCTTGCCCGCAGTGCCGTGATTTCCAAGCCTAATCACGGCAGCTTGGTGCAAAAGTGGCGCACCTAATTAATGAGAGGTGATGTGGCTACACATGGCTGCTGTGTACTTACTATGATTAGTGCGGCAACTAAGCGTGGCATGACGCTGATGGCCCTCTACGATCAATAAAGGGATTGGGCCTTGATTAGATTTGCCAAAGACCATCTGCAATGAGAGGCTTCTGCTGAAACGGAACAAAATTGTGCTTTCAAGGAGAGGCCTTTGTATCTAAAATGCAGAATAATGGAAACTGTACCACCGCTGAACTTTTGTTGGGTAAGTGAACCACCATGATATGATCCAAATTATTGTCAGTCTGCTGGTGCGCTGCTGTGTTACTGACCCCGTGTAGAACATGTATGAAGCCGTTTTTAAGATGTTTTTTGTGCCAGTTCAGAATAACTGGTCAGAAGAGAGGTACTCTCTCCCTCTCATACTCTCCCTCCCTCTCTCCTCACCTCCTTCATGCCTCGACTGCTCTCACAGAGGGCGCCCTCTGTTTCGCACGCTGCACTTACCCGTGGTTTTCGCTCGATATTCCACTGCTTGTCACCACCTGATCACTTGAGAGCTTCTCTTGACGGGCGCCGGGTGGCGTTGTATTTACGTTGGACTGGCAGTGTTTTGAAAGCGTCTGGAACTGAGCCAAGTCGTCGTCTTACCAGCCGTACAATAGCAACAGTCAAGGTGCCGAGAAGAATGCCACCTGACTGCTCTGGGACACAGATGACAGCCAGCGACCCAAAGACAGTCTTCCAGCAGTGACCTGCGGTCGGTAATGTTGGGGGGGGGGGAGGGGGCCGCTTTGAACTGAGAGGCAATGTTTGATCTAGCTTGATCAGAATAGATGAACAGGCTTCACCCAGCGTGAATTTCACCGCAGTTTGGGGATGGCTTGACCTGTGGCCATGACATTCTGGATCTATCAGCTTTGACCGTTTCCGCATATTAAGAAGCCATATCGTTTTGAAGCTGAAACACGAGCCTCAGTCGAATTCAAAGATTTTTGAATGGCACAGACCATTGAGAGGTGAAGTGAGGCATTGGCGTGAAGGGACCCTCGGGCTGTCACCAGCATCTATAACCTGCGGGAAACCTTGTCAGCGCGATACGTATGCTTTTTGGACTGAATACGATGTTGAAATATCACACTCTCCTGTTGATAGATAGATAAGTTAAGGGTTCTTTAATTTGAATCTAGGTGCGCCAACGGATATAAGGCTTGCTGTATTCTGATTGTTTTAGTCGATATTACCACTGTCGCTTTTTGACGATTTCGGTATGAATGCCAAATACTAATTTGTGTTTAGTCTTCGGTCCCTCTTGCGACAACAGTGCCGTACAATGAGTGTGAATTTTCTAAACCTTGCACTTCCTATTCAAACACGAAATAACCGCAATTTGTAGGCATGTGTTCCTCGCCCACGAGCGCCCCGAATCCGCTCGCACCAGTGTAGGCGCAGAGCCGCAGCCGGTGACGCTGATCGGGCCGAGACTCAGGGTCCGGGCCGGGACGCTGCTGTTCGTCCGCCCCATGAGTCAGACGGACGCGCGTCACACGGCCGCGTCACGGGACGCCAACTGACATTTCAGACCAATGGTGACCTGACGGGCCTACAGAACGCTGCGCCAGCAACCAAATGAACACAGTTATAGCTCCTGAGCGGACGTGGCGAACGTCACCCTGAATTTTTCGGCTATTCATATCGTTTCGAAACCAGTGACGCAGCCCATGGAAGCAATGTGTGGTTCAGAATTCCGAAGAACGCCATGTGACAAAGCTCTTTGGGAGCTTGGAGATAATTCTGACCAGTGAGCTTGAGCAGTCAGCAATATATTTCGTCTGAGGTATAAGATAATCATCTTGATCTGAAGATGCGGAAAGACCAAAACAATCGGAAATACATTACGGTCATGGATGCGCTTGGAGCGTAAATATTCAGACCATCACTGAATTCCCTCGAATGCTGAAAAGTTCCCATGGCTTGGATCGCGACCGTTTCGGCAACCAGCAGTCACTAATTATGAAGTGAGCGCTATTGTCCCGGTCCACAGCGTAATGAGGTTAGTTACGGCCACCTGGGAAGTCTCGTCACCAGATGGATCGCCGGCCCCCCGTCGGCAGATGAGGTGTGGTCTGTGGGCCCGGCGCCGCGGGAGGCCGTGAGTTCGGCCGAGGATAAAACACGTAACGGTCGCGCGCCGCGTCAGCCGCGTCACAAGTCCGCCGGTCACGTGATGTATGGTTCGGCCCGTGCCGCGGCGGCCGCAGAGCTAAATTAGCCGTCTTTGGTAGATGGCGCCGATACATGTTGAAACGCGCCGACAAAAGACACCCAAGTGATGCGGCGAACTGTCACAACGCAGCAGATGATGTGGGAGAGATGCCGTCCCGGTCAGCGGTCGCCGTCGCCGCCTTGCGAAGTGGGACCGAGACGCGGTAGTGGTTGGTCGGTTGTACCGCACTACTGTCATGTAGCAACGTACGTTGTCAAGGCAGCTGAGCTTGAGATTGGTTGATTACTGACCATTCAAAAGACACCCTACCGACCATTTGTATGTTCTCGCATCGGTCTGCACAAGCAACTCTTTGCGCCATTTTTGCGTGCATTCGTGCCGATTATGCAATCGTTTGAAGCTGCTTGTGGAACGACATCAGGTCAAAACGCAACCGCACTGACTGTTCTAGCGATGTTGAACCTAGTGTCATTCGTTTCAAACCGCTGATGTAAATTGCAAGTTATGGTGTATGGATAGATCAAGATAGCTAACTGAGCGTTCAAACACACGCGTTCCCCTGTCATTCCCCTGTCGTCAGAGGATTCAGTGGTAGAAACCGAAGCTGTGTCATGACGTCATAGTGACCTTACACCTTCCGCTGCCGTTTCAGGGTCCTTGTGGGGGCGCCGCGGGCGCAGACGCAGCAGCCCGGCATCGTACGCGGCGGTGCTGTGTACCGCTGCGCGGTCAACAGCACCGCCGGACAGCGGCCCGCCTACGCGAGCTGTCAGCAGATACCGTTCGACGTCAACGGTGGGTGCTCCGCCACCGGCGGGCCGCTCGTTCAGCGCGAGCGCCAGGGCGTTGGGGTCACAGTGTCGCCGGACGACGTGCTGCCGTCGCACCTGCAGGAGGAGCTGGACAATGCCGCCTCTCTTTCTCTTCTCGTCCCCTGAATAGGACTGATCAGACCACCAGCGCGTCGCAGAAGTGCGGGCGTCCAGGCGGCCGGTGTATGCAGCAACCGGGCGTTTATATGATAGCGATCAGACCTGCCACTGGCGGCCACCCGACGCGCCAGCTCCGGACCGCCTCGTTCTCCACCTCCGCATCAAGCGACACCCAAAGACTACCGATCGGGCGCATCGGAATTGCAATGGGGCCATTCGGCGGCTCGTCGGGCGCAGGTCGGACGTGCAGTGGTCACTAGACGTCACGACGTGCATCAGCCGTACTCGGCCGATCAGCAGATCTAGTCACCCACTCGTCAGGATCGTGCGGAGGGAGGTCAGGGAGCATCAGATCGAATCCGCCCATACCGGATCAGCCGCTCGTCAGGGCCTGGCGGAGGGAGGACTGTCCCTGTCCCGCCCATCAGCGGATCAGCCGCTCATCAGGGCCGGGCGGAGGGAGATCAGGGTGTGCCAAATCTGCCCCTCCCATCAGCGGATCATCCGCTCATCAGGGCCGGGCGGAGGGAGATCAGGGTGTACCAAATCTGCCCCGCCCATCAACGGATCATCCGCTCATCAGGGCCGGGCGGAGGGAGATCAGGGTGTACCAAATCTGCCCCGCCCATCAACGGATCATCCGCTCATCAGGGCCGGGCGGAGGGAGATCAGGGTGTACCAAATCTGCCCCGCCCATCAGCGGATCACCCGCTCGTCAGGGCCGGGCGGGGAGAGCTCAGGCCTGGCCAGCAGGCACGGCTCTCAGCCGCCTCTCCGGTGGTGACCAGAGCTGGCGCTGATCGTCCGTGCTAGATCAGAACATCCCAACAGACCGCGCTGTGCGCCTTACCACCAATGCTGCGTAATTTTTGAGGTACCAATAGTTAATTGATTACTTGTGCATGCAAGGTCATTCGCGTTGTAACATTTTGTGCTGGAATGACCTGTATGCAAAGCAGTCAATATGATACAGTTGAATGCAGGAGTGGCACTATGCACCTCGTTGCCATTTTCTGAAGAACTCTCCACTCAGCCGTTTACAGCTAGTCCAGGAACGGTGTTCAAGGGATCAGCCCATGCTGAGACCGCGCCGACTGCCCTATCATGACCAAAGTTCTGAAGACCAGCAATCAGCGACTGCCTCTGACCAGCACAGCTTTCTCATTGCTCCATCGTCGCTAGCGCGCCGAGGTGCGCTGAGCACCGCACAAGAGGCGCGCTGACCTCGCAAAAGTGAGCCAACCGTCGCCGAGGTCTCTCGGACCGAGAGACCTCGTTCAGCGGGGAGCCTGCTGCGGCCCTCAGTCTGCAGTGGGCTCCAGACGCTGCTCCATGGCTCGGCCCGCGGCCGGACCAGCCGCGTGCGGCTGGCGGCATCGGAGCGCCGCCCCGCCGCGCGTCACGTTCGCCGCATCGCGTCACAGACGCCGCGCCGGCGCGCGCGCCGCTGCAGTCCGTATCCGCACGCACCTGATAAATATTTATGGGCCGTTTCTGAAGCAGGCGCTGTCCGTTTGACGAGACGGCCGTCAAGATAGGCACGCCGCAGCTCATCGTAAATATCTCCCAAGGGGCCGCGTTGCACGTAAGGAGCCGAGGGACCACCGCGTCCCCTCCATCGCTGCCTTTCACTGAGTGGGCCGATGCAGCGACACTCATTCGTGCGTCCTTCCGAGGGACGTGGTACAGCGTCTTTCATTCGTGTCTCCTTTTGAGGGACATGTACAGCGTCTCTCGTTCGCGTCTCCTTCTGAGGGACGTGGTACAGCGTCTTTCGTTCGTGTCTCCTTCTGAGGGACGTGGTACAGCGTCTTTCATTCGTGTCTCCTTTTGAGGGACATGGTACAGCGTCTCTCGTTTCGTGCGTCCTTCTGAGGGACATGACACAACGTCTCCAAATCGTGCCTCCTCCTGAAGGACACGATACAACGTCGCCAATAAGCAACTCCCTTCTGAGGGACATGGTACATCGTCTCTCACTCGTATCCCATTCTGAACGACTGAGGAAGTGCATGGTCTCCAATACACCACGCTTGATTGCAGTCTCAGGAGGACATAAGTGCTGCCTCTCACCCATGGTTCCGCGCGTGTGCGCATGTAGACCGGTCATCTGTCCTCCGTATGTGAACGTGCAGACAGACCAGTCACCTGTCCTCGCGTGCACGCATCTCTGAGTGAGCAATGTTTTTCTTGCCGTGCACTCAAGGACGCCACGTTGTATGCTCTTGCCCTCCCCCCCCCCATGCAGACTTGAGCCCCCAATGATCGTCTGAGCCCCCCCCCAAAAAAAGAGCATAACAGAATGCTGGGCCAAGGAAATGCAGATAATTTCCTTGAAATACTGGGACACTAGGTACCTGAATGCATCACTTCTACCTTCAATCTCATTTTGGACCACATAATATCCTGTAAAGACCCTATATTTTTGTCATTCCAAATCCTTTGCATGTTAAGCCAGCCTGCAAATATTGGCATGTGTTTAACGAGATAGCATCGGAAACAAAAATGTGTCATAAATGACAGCTTTTAAGCATGCGGTGGTGGGTTTTACGCATTTGTTTCGTAATGCTGGACATTTGCTTACCATGAACTTTGCATTTTTTAAAATTTTGTTTTATGCCTCGGATCAGAGCAATGCAGCAATGCAGATCCGCCGTTCGAAGCATTCAACATTCACACGTTCACATAAAAACATCGTGCCAACATCAGGAGTTTTCCAGTTGTTCAGGCTCTCATATCTTGTCATCCAACACGCGGTGCTGCGCTGAGGACTGCCCGGACGGCTGTATTGAAAAGCTTCGATAACATGTACCGAACAAAACCATGGAAAGGAACTCACGGCGTGTGTCAAGTGTCAGTGTTCACTGCAACGACTAGAGAACTAGCTCTACATGTGTGCAACTAAACGACATTGCTCAGAAAGCATGTCAAAAAGCTTGAGAGCGTCAAAGCCCCAAGATGACATTTCTATGCTCAGCCTCAGGGGAACGGTAGGACTGTGCAGCAATTGTCATGTCCTGAGATCCGCGCGGAATTTTGCTGTTGCTTAAATGTATGCTGTAAAGCTGGTATCCGTTTATCGCATTCCATTGTTGCGTTTCAAACCGCCACGCATTCACTAGCTGTGTCCACTTAGTCGTGCATATGCTCTCTCTAACCATGCGCTCTAATCTCTCTACCATGCGCTCTAATGCGCTCTAACCATGCTTCAGCTCTCTAATCTCTAACCTTTCTAACCTTGTAAGGTTTTCGTGAATCCGGTCCTGACCGCTGCGCTTCGTTTCGCCTTCATACGTTATCCCTCGGCAAAACTTATAGGAGCCCTTGCATAATCCGTTCTTCGTATGCATTTTTCCTTCAGCCGGCAGCCACATGTCTGTTGAACCTGAATCCCACCTGAACGCTCAGGGATCTCGAGGAATGGTCAAACCGGTGAAGACTGGTCAAAATTTGTGGAAGAAATCAGGTTTTGAGCGGGATAGGTCAACATTGTCGGCTGGGCGCCCTCTGAACCCATTTTTGAAAGTGACACTCCTGCCTGCACCTCTGAGGCTACCGCACCTCTGTGACTTCTAACGGAGCCTCTCACAGTCTGGTGTCCCCAGCCAGCCCAGCCGGGGCGATATCTTTGACAAGTTAATTTCTCTGAAGCCCGCTGGCTACGGCCAGGAAGCAGGTGAAATTTATACGGTCGTCATATATCATACGCCGTTTCCAAGCTCTCTCGTCGCTTGCTGACTAATTATTGTTCGGACATAATATGCCAGCTATTGCTCATCGGAAGGCACCGTTTATCTTTTAGAAACGATTACGTACTGGGTAATAACATCAGCCTCCTCAGCTGGGCTATCCCAAAACAAGAGCTCCATATGCAGATAGCGTCGAGATTGGCCTGGTGGAGGCCACGTTTGGCTGTGCCAGCGAGCTCAAGGACAACCTTGTCGACACGGAAGCTTTGACGCACATGGGCTTGCGTTTCACCTACATGTCTGATCCTTCAATAGTCTTTGCAAGTGGGGTTTCGAGTTAGAGGACGGGACGTAATTGGGATATCGTAGGATAGGTTTTATTACGAGTAATTTGAAGCTATCAAGCCACTAGCGCCCTGACCTCTGCTTTCACCTGTCCGATCAGCCGCTGGTAATCAAAATGCCTGTGGGATCTCATCATCTCAGGGCCAGCTTCAAAAGCCGAGACACCCGCTCTAGTAACCAACCCCTATCTCTTACGGCAATAACTCAAAATGTTGTTACAGTAGTACGACGAAATTGTTGATGTTGTGCTGGCTACCAGTCCCCTTGCAGTGTTCAGAAACCGTGCACGTAAGCCAATGTTATCACGGAACTTATCACGGAACTTATTCACATCGACTGATGGTCGATTACAATCTGTCGATTCGTATGACTGTTGATTGTATGCCACTTTATTTAGCTACGCGACCGCGTCGGAGAGTTCTTGCATTAAGTGGGGGCGTTCTCCGTGTCCTCTCGACATCGCGTCTGGGTTTGCCTGTCCTCAGCCCGATGAAGGCGACCGTTGTAGTCAGGGGCGGGGCGCAGAAGGCACGTGCGAGGTCTTCAAGGTACGGAGGGTGAAGAGCCGGAGTCCGCTCTTGATAAACAGTTAACTCGTGGCTTTGACTTGTAAGTGCGGGGGCAACGACTCTCCGCGCACGCTACGCCCAACGTCCTGGAGAGCATTGGAGAGCAACATTGCTATCGTGCACGTCCTGGAGAGCAGCCAAACGACCGTCCCACAAGCTGCCAACACATGACAGACACATTCTGATCAAATTCCCGCATTCTTTGCGCATCATCTGACGCCCTTTCTTAAAAAGAACTGCGCGCGCAGGTGTGTTCCAGCAGAGCGCCCCGCCGCGGCAGGACCGGTCAACGCCGGCCGCGTGCCTCGCCCGCCACACGCGCAGTGGCGTGATGACGGGGGCGTCTACGCGACCCTCCATCAATAAGCGGTTGTTGCCACGCTGGCCTCCATATTCATGAGGGCCACCGGGTCAACTCGGGCCGCTGGCAGCCCGGCCGGACCTGTCGGGCCTCGGCGGATTGAATGTCGTCCGATAGTCGGCGGCGCGTGCTCGGCTGGCCGTCGAGGCCCGCCAGGGCGGGCTCGGGACGCGAACGCCGCCGACGCCGCGCGGAGGGGGACAGTCCTGCTGGACCAATCCAGCCTGGCGCCCCCGCCGATCTGGTGTGGAGAAGAGGCCCCTTGCAGAGCCAGTCCGGCCTGGCGTCTCCGCCGATCTGGGATGGAGAAGAGTAGAAGTAGGAAGGATGCAAATTCACTTTTGTTTCTTTTGGATGCACACAGCTGCACACTTCAGGGGAACTAATGACGAATGATCAAATGAAGAACTGATACGGGCAACAGACATGGCACCCGGGCTCGGCAGGGTGCCTCGTTCTTAGTGGTTAAAACTCAAAATTATCGAAATTCGCAAATGTATATCATGGCTCTAACCGTAGCCAGTTAAAAAGCACCGCTCAGGTACCGCATGCCCATATACGGCGGCAGCATGCGCGGCATGTAATCGTCCTAAAAGTTATCACCAATAGTTTGGCCAGACTGACGACGGCTACAAGCCACATATGTTTCGCCTCTCTCCGTTGTTTGGGATTCTCAATCCATCACATTAGGCTGCTTAGTCAACCGACCGAACAGCTACAAACACAATACAATTATGATTGAAAGCATGTATTAAACGCAATTCGTCCCCATTTCTCACTTCATTACAGCGCCTGTCTTCCGGTCCACCCAAACGTGGCGAGTCGGGTTCAAGTCACATCAGGCACTCGTTACTTGCCCTTGACAGGTATGGTCTGCGGCCGGTGGCATCGGACACACAAAAGGTCAGGTGACGTCAGACTACGGGACGAACCGTGCCGAGGCATCACACGGGCACGGCACGCTGAACTCTCGACATCAAAATCTACCACTGACCTGAAATTGCACGATCGGTTGGTAGGGATCAGGGCTTACGCAACAAACACTGCTTAGCGTGAGCTCTGATCCCAGAAACCCATCCATTTAAAGGGCTTAGAACGAGTCCTTAAAAAGATAGATTGTCAATGTTTTTCTGCGCTACGGTTTATAAAACGGCTTCTTTCTCCGAAAGCGGAGCTGGACTTTGCCACTAAAGACCGCGTATTTAAACACTGTAGTGAACCACTTGATCCATACACTGGTACGATACACAATACTTCCTTTAAACGCTTCACGCCAAATGTCGGCCGCAACTGGTCGTTGCAGGCCAGATGTGGTCTGCCGCTGTTTCGTTTCAGCGGTCCCTCGGCACCAATTATTGCTGTTATGGTTACAGCGTGTCAACACGTCCTGCGATGACGCAAGGCTGGAGCCGCTCAGCCATTGCAGCTTGCACTGCACTGCCCCGGCAGACGCAGCTTTGAATCATAGTCAGAGGAATCATAGTCTGCCACTGGCTGCAGCCCTGGGGTCGGTTGCACGAACCGCTCTAGGGTCGCAGTGTATTTTTGCGAGTAGGAATTGGAGCCATGGAAAAAGCACGGACTTACCTCAACTTGGTCAGCCATTCTCGTAACTACAGCGTAGTGGGATCAGTTGCTGACTTTCAAAGCAATTTATGAATGACGATTAATTGGGCATGTATATATATATATATATATATATATATATATATATATATATATACATGCATTCAAAGTGGCCTTTCGTCACGAAAGACGAAACTCATCCGCTCCCACAAACAAACCTCGCCCATCATGGGAGAATGGCTGCCGGCATAAATAAGTAATTCGTGAAGTACGCTGCGAGACGCCATGCCTTTTTGTGATCTCAAGAGTAGTCCGCTATTGCGTATTGGAATAATTCCCTCTGTGCACACCCTCATTGTCGGACAACATTCCTGTAAATCATCCAGCTCATGTGCCTGCCAACAGGACCACCACCTTAGATGACTTTATTCGTGTGACGCCAGATGACACGCGATGACCATAATGTTCGCGACGTGGTCATGTGACGTGACGGGTGTCGTAACGGAACTCGCGCTGTGACGGTGACGTGACAGTGACGTGAGCGGTGTCGTCTGCAGGGAACAACGTGGCCGGCGGTCGCGCCATCGACGAGAAGTCGGGCCAGTGGTTCGGCGCCATGGTGACCTCTACTCCCGGCAAGGACAAGCTAGGCGTGGTGGTGGTGAGTGGGCCCGCGCACCGCCGCTGGCCTCTGTGGACATGATAGTGTGGCGTTCTGGCGAAGCACGGCGGGTCGGTCCGGGGCGGGGGTGGGACCGAGGACCCTGAGGCTGCTGTCCACGTTCCAGCTGTCTCGTGCTCTCAAGACGGTGGTGTGCCTTGTTTTACTTGTGGATGAGACGCTCGCCCATCAGCACGATGCTGATGTCAACGCGAGCACGTCAGCGCGATGCTGATGTCAGCGTAAAGCACGTCAGCACCAACGCTGACCCTGGGGGTCCACTCGCCGGGCCGCTGCTGGTCTGTGCTGGTCCGATGAGGTCTGGAGGAGTCTCGGTGCAGGCGTCCTCGGGAGTCTGGAGCAAGATCGGCAGATCGTAGCCCACTGAGTGCAGCCAGTGACTTACACCCCGTGTGAGCAGCTGCATCACGGGCTACAGCACTGACCGCTCTTTCATATACCGAGACAGGAGCTAGTACAAAAGCTTTCTATCCCCGCCTCCGGCAACATGTTCTGTGCCAGATTTTGGCACTAGAACTGAGGTGAAGTGGACGTACCATTGCGTGTTGAATGTGGTCAGCTGACTTCCAACCGTGGCTTTTTGATGCTCGCCGTCTGTTTTGTGGCTCAGGTTTTGAGAGTGGTCTGCCGGGCCGGAATGCCAAACACTCCCAGGCTAGGATCAGGAGCCAGGGGGGGGGGGGGGGAGAAAACGGAGGGAGGAAGGGAGGGAGGAAAGGGAAAGGAAGGCGGAGAGGGAGGTAGGACTAGAGGGAAGTATGGATGGAAGAAGAGAGGCATGTAAGGAGGAACGGAAGCAAGAGAGAGAGAGGGCGAAGGGGAGAGCGAAGACGAAGGAGAGATGGAAGAGAGAGGAAGGCGCGTGCAGAGCTTCATACATTTTCGCGAGGACGCCACGAGTAAGACTTTTGAAATGAGCCTCCTCCTTCAAAGAGGCCGTCGTGAGGGAAGCCACAAGCGACTCATGCAGAAAACGGGATCGATGCCTCTGTCGGTGTGGCCTCTGCCGGCGCCGCTGCCTCCGGGCTGACCGTGCAAGACCTGGTCTAGAGTATGCGGCGGGAACTGCTCCCAGCTGCTGACCCGCTCGGTAAATCACCGTCAGTCATCGGCGGAATGGGTGGAATGCGACGCGGCGCTGCCCTCAGTCCGTGCGACCGTCCGCCCGCGGTCGCGGCCGAGATGTTTGAGCCGTCGCGCGGCGGCCGACGGCACTCCCTGCACGGCCGCGCCGCGCCCGAACAATGACGCACCCCACACCGACGTATGCCGGCCGAACGTACACCGACGCTCAGAATTCGACGCACGGATCTGGAGATCGCGGCGGACATTCTTACCATCGCTGAGCGTACTCCGCTGCAGGAGCTCCGTCTCACTGCGAGCGGGACCCCGCTCGGACAGCGCGCAGTCAAATAGCCATTGCCTTTAAATGCGGCGTCAGCCATGCGCCCGCATAACGCTGGAACGAAAGGGTATTGCTGAGGCTCGAGACGGGGATGAGATTTCGTGGCGGTGCAACAAGGTGTTTCGTGGCTCGATACCGGTGCGATGCATGCTCACCGATACGAAACGATTGTGCAATAGACACTTCGTGCTGATAAAGTAAAATACGGAAGCATATTCTTATACCTTCATCAAAGGCCATCACACGGTTTTATAGCTTACTCCCTGTATGCCATTTGTCACAAGCTATGCACGATGACGTATGTACCACATGAAGAGTACTTCTTAACAAATGGAACCAAAAAAGGGCAGTCATCCATGTCTTATCCCCGTCTTAGTTCCAGTCTGTAGTTAGGGGTAAACATTAGCATAATGAATGACAGGTGCATTGTTAGTTGTATATCCACTGAGATACAATGTTAACATGAATACACACTGCTGTCAGAAATCGCGCATTGCAAGCATGCCTTACTGAATCGGAATTGGTTGGCCAGGACGGTGTAAGGAGGGCTTTTGCTGGCGCACTAACACTGCTCAACAGAGGACAATATCTGTCTTCATGGGCCACCCCTGAAGATACCGCAGCTGGTCTCGTTTCTTTGGCTCTCTCACACGCGCGTACCGATAACTGCCTCTCTGCGCTGCGAATCATTGGCATGCAAATATATTCATGTTTTATGTCGGTAACGACATGGATCAGGTGAGAATAACGATTAGGCGGAGATGAATGGCGCTTGGTGCATGGGTCAGTACTGCACGCACACCTGCGCCATCAGCGTCTAACAGAACGCGTGCGAGCCGTTTGCTGCGGGGTCAAGAAGGTGCGCACGATTGGGTTATTGTCTTACACCGTATATTTCCGCGTATTTTGCACGGTGTATTTTCAGACCGCAGCATTTTCACGGGAAAGCCGAATGTAAAAACTTGTTGCGACGCGTTACCTGTCATTATGTTCGGCAAACTGCATTTCTTGAAATTATGTCATTAGAACATTTGAACACTTGCTTGAATCCCTTTTTGTTTTCACTTGCGGACGTCTATAGTGATGCCTCAACAGTCCTGAGTCACCATCTCTCGGCGCTGCCACATCTGATGCGTGCGTGTTGCCGTGCCGCTGTATCCGGGCCGGCATCATGTTTGATGTGCAGTGTCGTGGTGTTTAATGCCGCGACATTTCGCGGATAATTAATGGCGCAGGCCGGAAGCAAGACCTCATAAACGCCATCCTGGGCTGGACGCCTAATGAGAGACGCCCACCCCCCGGCCAGGAATGCTTTGCGTTAGTATAACTAGAAATAACTGGCCTGATCGGAAGTGCGCCACATTCGGCACGCGCATCAGGACTGTCGGGAGTGTGTGATGAAGAGGCTGCCGACGGCTCGGGGGTCGCTGGAGCGTGCATGCACATGTGCTCCAGACCAGCTGGTCCCGACCGCGCGCGGCTTTATAGTCCCATCACGAGGGTGTGGTCCGTAAAACCTGCGGACGATGCGTAACGCGTGGTGATGACTTGTCCTGTGGGCAGTGCAGCTTCTTGGTTTTGCGCGCGCAAAAATGTTTAAACCCTTCTTGCAACGCTGACTGTCATCTCTCGTGACGTAACAATGGATGAAATCGGAATGCATGAAACTAGCGTCAGGTGGAATGCGGCTGTAATGAAAACAACCTGGAAACGTTAACACCAGTGCTACACACGCTGTCTTTAGATGTATGAAACAACGGCAAGCACGCGGTTTGTTGGTGGTATAGATCAGCTTCCAACAGCAGCCAAAGACAGCAAAGGCGCAGGGCTGCTGATCAGATGTCGATGCGTTTTAGGTAAACGAATAGACCACTTCCTGACACGGGCATTATATTCGTCAAATGAATGCAAGCCATCAGTTCAGATTCCTTGAAGTTTTGTCATCACTCTGGCTGTGCTCCGTCCTGTTCGACGGCGCTATATTTAGCGTCCCTGCGACTCCCCCGCCCCGCGGCCCTGAGCGCGCGCTGGTGACGCGCTGACGGGGGGATTGGTCCCGACCAGCGGGCCGGAAGCGGGCCCAGCTGCTCGCGGTCACGTGGTGTGCGTCGGAACCGACGACGTGCAGCTGGCGGTGTGTCGTCGATACGGTAATCAGCGCCGGCCCGGCCCGGTCTGAATCCATGACCGCAGCAGGCCGCGGCGAAAACGGGGAGGCAGTCTGTCCGTATGTAGGTCAAGATGACAAGCTAGCGGGTGTTAAGTCTGCACTCGTGCTGAGCAGCCTCAACAAACACTTCAGAAGTAGGGCGGTTCTCAGTGGCCACATCGTCAGCTGCAGCCTTTTGATATCGGATGCAAAGGTAGACGAGGCCGGTGCCCAGCCGCTGCTGACCGACGCACTCGCACGCGGCCTGAGGCTCGCCGCCGCGCTGCACCGTGCTGCGCTCCTCCCTTTGATCGGCCCGGCGCACAATACCGTCTGAGCGAGGCCCGGCCCGACCCACACTGGCGGGGCGGCCCGCTGGCACGCCGGCCCGTCCGAGCCCTGCCCGGCTCCCCGGCCGAAGTGGCTCCGCTGACGCACTTCTGGCACATGCTGACGCACCGGCCGCTCCTCGTCTGCTGGCGGCGGTCGCGAGCTTCCGCAGCGATCTCAGGACGGACTGGTCCGCTGGTCTCTGCCCAAACGATGGCTTGGGATATCGGGTGTGGGAGCTCATGTTCCTGCCGTCACATCTGTTCCCATGTTGGATCCACTCTGACGAGAACGTCACGGGCGCGAGAAGTCCAGTGACTGTTGTTCTGCCAGCTTCTGACTTTGCCTGCTGCCACTGAGTTCTACACAGATAAGCGCAAGACCGCACAGCCATTTGTCTCACTGCCCTTGCAAATCATTATAAACAACTCCAATTACAACACCGTCCCTACCACGCAACCTTCCGAGCCATCGCTATGAGCCATTCTGGTAAGGACGGTATGTCGACTTATCTGTACGCCGACAATATGTATGCCGACAGTACGTATGCCGACGGTCTATATGCCGACAGTATGCCGACATGTCTGTACGCCGACAATATGTATGTCGACAGTACGTATGCCGACGGTCTATATGCCGACAGTATGCCGACTTGTCTGTACGCCGACAATATGTATGTCGACAGTACGTATGCCGACGGTCTATATGCCGACAGTATGCCGACATGTATGTTGCCGTCAGGCATGCGCTCCCCGCTACGTCTGGTTCTCCAGCAACCAGAGGCGGCGGGAACCCGTCGGCACGTGCTACGTCGCCAAGAACGGCTTCTCCGACGTCCAGGAATACGCGCCGTGTCGCACAGGTATGTACATGATGGACGCCTTTGTGCTGTGGTCAATAGCTGACAGATCGTGCAGCCCTGCACTATGCATGCTCTTTGTCCGGCGCACTGCGGCGTCCATCAGAGGAGCAGTCAAGGAACACCGTCATACATCTGTTGATACCGTAAAAACGTTCGAATGCATCTGAAGTCGCCCGCCTCAGCTGTCCTTGCGCAATCGGCCTGTCACCGTCGGAGCGGCTGACACCGGCGGACGCTGACCACAGGCGCCTGGGGCTACCATCGGCAGGGCTCGTGCCAGTCCGGCCTGGGATCTGCCATCAGCAAGGTGAGCCATCCCCGCCAGAGAGAGCTGCCCGTCTCCCTCCCCCCGGGCGCAGCTCGTTCGTGATCTACCTGAGAGCCCTCGCGTCCAGCCGGTGTCTTCCCGGTCTGGCGGTGCATCACGGCTGGCTGCCAGTCAATGGGCTTTGCAGAGGGTGTGTTTCTTTAGCCACATCCAGCTATGGTGACGAATGCGACTCACAGCCGTCGTTGTCATGGAAACGCTGTTTATATGGGGGCTGCGTCATCGCTGCGCGCCCTTGTTCGCTACGTTGGCATGTTAAAGGTCACACATCATGGTTGGTCTGCCAGGCGCCCGCTTTGCTTGACACAGGACACCTCGCACCCCACGCCAATTAGACCAAACTAATTTGAGCGGCGTTTCTGCCGCGCGGATTCGCCGGCCGGCCGCTGTTCGCTCGGCGTCGGCGCCGGCGCGCGGCGAGGCCGCCGCTGGCCGCGGGGCGCGCTCGGCTGCCGCGGTGCGTGCCCGGCTGCACGCGGAGCCGCCGGTCCTGATTTATCGCGCCGGACGCACGTGCCAGTGCCGTCTCCGCTCGGCGATCCGCGCGCCGCGGCCGAGGCGACGGCCTCATATGTAACGCCGCTGGCCAGATGGCTGCCCGGCGCCCGCGGGACCGACAGCCAGAGGCCAGCCGAGGCGGCGGACGGCTGCTGATGCTCGTCACATGGCTGTGATGAGACCTGTGTTCGCATACGAGTTTGTCGGGTGGTGATGTGTTTGCGGTCGAACGCCCGTCGCATTGACAAGCTTACTCTTCTTTGACCGGCTTTGAGTCGTCACTGAGGGTCAGGCAGTGCCCCGACTTCCCATCGGCAGGGCGTGGAGCGCTCGCGAAGCTCCGACGCCAGCGACATCTACCGGCGGGCGAGAATGTCGCCTACCGCTGACGGCCGGCCGGCGCTGGCTGTTTGTGGCCGGGCGGTCTCTCTCGAGCGGGGCCTTTTTGCGGCCCGGTGAGAGGCCACGAGAGGCCACTGATCGGTGCTGTTTTTCGCCCGCAGGACGGGGACCGGCTGTTCATCGGCGCCGTCGGCAGCTGGTATTGGCAAGGTAAGCCGCAGTGGGCGATACGATGAGAGAGCGGAAGCGAAATAACAAGTGAGTGGGTGGGTGAGTGAGTGCATGAGTGAGCGAGAGGAGAAAGGTAGTAGAAGGCGAGAAAAAGAAAATGGTTGAAAGCTGTGTGTCAACAAAATGCTCACAGGCTTTGACGTCGTGTGGTCTTGCGTGTTAGCGCAAGCAATTAGGTTGTGTTATTTGTTCCACGGTAATTTTTAACTGCTCATAAATGGTTCTACCACTATTAGAACTAATTGGTTCTATCAGGAACGACTTGCCACCTGCCAGTTACTACTCTGTCTTTAAAGCATCTCACAAGGCAGACCGTTTTTATCCACTTGCTGGCATGTGGGTATATTTGTTCAGAAGAATATCTAGCAGGCGCAATGTTGTCACATCAACAGCGACCGGACTCGAGGCAATCAGCTCGTGCGCCGGGCTTTTGCGTGCGGAGAAGTTTCGAAACAACGGATGGCCTGTTAGCTTACGGACCACCGATGGTCTCACCGAGACCGGCGCGGCCGTCTGCGGACCTGCCGTTGGTCTCGCCGAGACCGGCGCGGCCGTCTGCAGAGCTGCAGATGGTCTTACCGAGACCGGCACAGCCGTCTGCAGACCTGCCGATGGTCTCGCCGAGACCGGCGCGGCCGTCTGCGGACCTGCCGTTGGTCTCGCCGAGACCGGCGCGGCCGTCTGCAGAGCTGCAGATGGTCTTACCGAGACCGGCACAGCCGTCTGCGGACCTGCCGATGGTCTCGCCGAGACCGGCGCGGCCGTCTGCGGACCTGCCGATGACTAGGAGCGCCTGTAGCGGCGCCGGCGGCGCCGGTGTGGCAGTGACTCGGCGCGAGGCCCTTGGAACGCCTGTGGCGGCGCTGACGGCGGCAGTGTGACAGTGACTCGGCACAAGGCCCCGCTCATAGCGCCTACCTTCGCGTGCCGTCACACGGCCTCTGTTACGGAACACGGCATCTGGCGTCACGTCTGCCAACGCCATTATAGCCGCTGTTAGGCCGTGACCAGCCGCCGCACCGAGTTGTCAGTCTGGTGTCTTCATTAGCCACGTGACGATGCGGAAACGGCTCCCCCGATGGCGAAACCGACCGGCGGCACGACAGCGATGGAAGACGCCGTGCGGGCCCATGGAATGTCCGCCAGTGTGCTTTTTATTCCCTCTGACACCGACGCCTCCCGATTGAGGGCCGCGTGTCGAATGCACCGTTGACAGCAGCGCCACGTGTCCGCCCGAGCCGTTGACAGCTGCGCCACGTGTCCGCCGGGGCCGTTGACAGCTGCGCCGGTTCTGGGCACGGCCGCCGTCTTCAGGGGGCTGCCCTGAGCTGAAACAGCCGGCCAAAGAGCGCCCGTTGGGTGGGCGCCAGCCGAGGGGAGGGGCGGATGAACCCCAACACGTGCGTGCCGCCCTGCCCGGGCCAGCGCGCGGCCAAACGAGCCGGGGCGTGACGGTTACGACCTCGACAGCGGGAGGTGGTGATGGTGAAGGTGGAGCGACAACAGGATGCGGAAAAGCAACAACGAACACGGTACAGGAGGGGATAATGATGACGGAGGCGAAAAGGCAAAGGGGCGGAAATGTGACCTTCGTATTTAGTACAAGGCGCGGGCGCATGCCAAGTGGGAAGCAAAAATGATGGAAATCCCATCCTGTTCACATTTTTTGCGTCACGTAGCATCAGCGCGCATACGCTGGTCATCCTCCGACGTTGTTTCACCTTGAGGAGATGACTACGTGACAGTGTATTCATTGTAGTCTTGGATGCATTGAGTCGGATGGCGTGAAGATCCCATTGCGAATCCATCTAAACTAGGTGCTGGGCGAGGAGAGGTGGTGGTATTAAACATGTTTTGCTGCCAATACCGTATTGCTGACGTCATGCATCAGACTTCGCCGTTCCCAGTTTGTCATAATACTTTGGATTTAACCCTATTAAAATCGTCCTGCTGTTCTCTGGTTTCCGTGTCTGATAACCAAACCACCGTTGGCGTCTTCGTCCCAGCGCATTCCCTGACCTGGGTCACTGGGTCACGTGACGGGTGACTGTTGACAGCCGGGCGCACCTCGGTGACGCGTCGGTGCCGGGTAAAAACAGCGGTACTCTCGCGAGCGACGCACTCTGCCGGCTGCCGGCGCGGCACCGGTGTCGCAGACGCCGTCAGCACCTGACAGCCCGCTCGGAGCTGACACTTTTTGTGGGGACACCGGACACACGCGCCTCAGCCTGGCTGTCACGTGGATCAGAGGGATGGCTGTCACGTATGACAAATGGGTGGCTGTCACACGCAACAGATAGGGCTTTTTTCTGCCCCCGACAAACACTGGCGTTAATTGTTGCACCGTTTGTTGCTCCGACGTAACCCATTGGCCGAAACAGAAACAATAATTGGAATGGACCGTGACGTCCGTGTGCGCGGTGCGCATGTCCCGTCGCTGGTCGATAACGGGCCTTAAAAGCCGGTGTTTTCCGGCCACTGCAGCGGGCGCCGGTGACCTCCGCTGACCCGCGCGGCGGCCGCTGCCGGCCTCTGCATGCCGCAAGAGGCGTCGAGACACCGCCGCCGTGCAATCGCCTTCGGCCGCGGCAATTGATTAGGTGCGAGGTGGCGACGCCGCCACGCTTTTTGTCGACTGTTGTGATTGGCCGAGAGGCAGATATTTCATCCAGGGTGGACGCCTGCTGCCGCTTTGCGCCGTGCGCTCACGAAGCTGTTGGTCCTGAGCGCGAGCCATTTGATATTCGTGATGTCGTCAGCGCCGACGAGGGGGGAGTGACACACCGCCGTGGCGATGCGGCGAACATGCTGTGACGCGGGTGCCGTCACGTTCTCGCATTGTTCGCGTGGGGTCTGAGACCAGTCACGATCTCGTCAGGCGCTTGGCATCCCCTGTGCTGCAGAGTTGATGCGGGCACATGTGGCCTTTTGAGGGCTAAGCAATGAGCTGACCAACTGAGCCACATGACATTGCACGATCAGTGGTGGCTGGGGCAGCTGGTAATGCAGTCCATGGCATGTGTTGAAGCACAGTCTTAGTAATGCGAAGAACACGATTTGTGTTGTGTCGAGGTGCAGGGCGTCCTTGATTTAGTTATTTTTATAGTGCCAATAATATCCCCCACTCCGAAACCAGTAGCTTGACTCATATCTGTGTTTTCAATGCAAACATCGCGTAGTTTTTATTGTCGGAAAGCTTTAAAATCCAGGACGGCGATATTTTAGCCTCTGATCGCCAGGTTGCTAAACCCCCAAATGATATCCAGGGAGCAGTTTTGCCTTCATTTACCAATATACACGAAGATATTCATACCAACAGTCTATTCAGCACACTGTTACAGTTTCTCGAGAAGCTGTCGCGACGCCAGCGGGGCGCAGAACTTCACAGTTTGGATGTCAGCCTCTACAGGCCTGGCTCGCCTGACCGTGTGGCAATGCACGTTTGCGTGTGTTTGTGCTTACGCCTACGTCTGTATGCGGGTGTGCGTTACCGTTCGGGGGAGCGTGAGGTTGGGTGTAGAGACAGGTGTGAATGCGTTTGCATGTGGATATATGTGATGGTATGAGAGAGCTTTCCGTCTCCCTCTCAATCTACAGCAAACGCGATTATCTTGTCTTTCCTGCTGAAGTTAAACAAATCATTCTCTGGAGTTGCCTTTTTCACAAAATTTCGCTCGGCTCCGACTGGTAACGAGTCGTACGCTCCCAGTCGGACATAGCGGGGTGTATGGAAACTTACAAGACCGTGTGTACTGCTGCGCGTTCATGGACACTGGAAAGCAGCCGAGACTCCCCGAGGCATTCAGAGGCTTTGTGGGCGTCAGCTTGGTCTCTGCAGAGAGCCATATTTTGCCAGCACTTCGCAGGGCTCTTTTAGTCTTGCGCCGCTTTTGCACAAGCCTCTCAGCGTCAACACAAATTAATTGGCTCATGACTGCCTGCTTATCTCCATAATCAGTCCATTTCAACGAGGGGATACCGGCTACAACATGTGATGATGACATGCATCTATGCGAGCATGCATTCCATGCCCTACATACGTTCTTGGAAAAGTGCGCGAGCGCGTATGTATGTGCGCAGACTTGTGGGTGAGTGTGCACGGTTTTTGTGTGTGCTTTGGCTTACCGTCGCCGTCTGCGTTCGCTTCAGCGTGTGGCACAGCGCAGGCCGCCGTGCTGTTTGCTTCAGCGCGTGTGGTCCGGTGGGCGCCGTCGTGCCGTTCGCTTCGCTGTACCGTCACCGTGTCCTCCTCAGGTCGCCTGTACAGCCTGCCCGTTGAGGAGCAGGCGCGCCCCTTACCGCCGCCGCAGTACTTTAGGTCGTCAAGACTAGGTAACGCCGGTAGTCGCCATGTCACGTGGCTGCGTCTTGTGCCGCGGGATTCCCCCCGCCCTCCCCTTCCCCCGGCTGACGAGCAGACCTCAGCAGTAACCGGCCGACTAACCGCCTGTCCGGTGCCTTCTGCACCCCCCCCCCCCCCCCCCGTCCGGAGCTGATGGACTGGGCGGCCTGTCGACTGCGGGACGTATCGACAGCCGCCGGCTCCCGCGGGCCCCCTCCGTCGCCCGCTGCTGACAGAGCTGGGCCTGCATAACAGCCGCCGCCACACCACGCCGCAGGCTCTATAACCGGCGCACAGCCAAACCAGGCGCTCTCGCCAATGCACCCGAGCGATGGAACGCCAGTGATATTACGGGCACAGGAATGCGACTGGTTCGGATACCCTTGTAATTACTTCTGATAACATTCTCACATATTTCACAGGCATGCGTCACGCATTTCGCACGACTTATTTACGCACGCCGAAGATACGGCTCCCACCTGCAAGAACTTGCACGCAATGGATGATCCGTCCGTCATTTTATACCGTAGCACCATGTGTTTGATATGGATCCTTTGAATGAATAGCCTAGCAAAGTGCGTGAATTATAGCCAGGTCGTCTCATTACTGACGTGAATACGACGAGATGTTATCCGCACGATAACACATACATGTTATATCATGAATGATATGCTTGCATTGAGAACGTGCCAACTGTATGCACCTGGTCTAGAGGACGATAAGCCGTTGTGATACCGATCAAAGGACCCGTCTTCCTAATCTAAGCATATCCAAGGATAATTATTGTAATAGTTTACTCTTGATCATAAGCGCGGCTTGAAACGCCGGTATCGACAATGCAACCAAATTTTGTTCTATAATGTCGTTTAACCGGCACCTCCCGGTGTGCCGAAGGTCGATAAACCACTCATAGCACATGAGCTTTGATCTTTCGCGACATAGCCATTCCGGACCTTATGAAAATTGCAACATTCTGATGTATTTGCGGTTGGCCAACGCCTTCCGTAACCTCCACGTGGCCCTCCGGCCGCCTGTTGCCAGCACTTATCAGGAGCGACGTGGCTCAAGGCCCAGGTCTGTGATGTGCTATGTTCCCCCACCCTGCAAAGCAGCTGTTCAGCCAGCACCGGTAACGTGCAGTGGTTGCTGTGCAACGCTCCCCGCGATTTGTTTCCCCCAGCCGACCGTGGAGACCCCGTGTCCTCCAACGGTATCTGAGCGATTCTCTGGGCTATCGAGCGTTTGTCCCCGGTGCCGGTCAGGTGTTCAGCCAGCCCCTGTTCTCGCAGCGCCGGTCAGCTGTTCAGCCAGCCCCCTTCTGCGGTGCCGGTCAGCTGTTCAGCCAGCCCCCCTTCTCGCAGCGCCGGTCAGCTGTTCAGCCAGCCCCCCTTCTCCCGGCGCCGGTCAGCTGTTCAGCCAGTCCCTGTTCTCGCAGCACCGGTCAGCTGTTCAGTCAGCCCCTGTTCTCGCAGTGCCGATCAGCTGTTCAGTCAGCCCCTGTTCTCGCAGCGCCGGTCTGCTGTTCAGCCAGACCCCTTCTCGCGGCACCGGTTAGCTATTTAGTCACCCCCTCTTCTCGCGGCGCTGGTTAGCTGTTTAGCCAGCCCCCGTTCTCGCGACGCCGATCAACTGTTGAGCCAGCCCCCTTCTCGCGGCGCAGGTCAGCTATTCAGCCAGCACCTGTTCTCGCGGCCCGACCTGGCCGCCACCAGCGAGGGCCCCAGCTCGGAGGACGACAGCTACCTCGGCTACTCGGTGGCCGTCGGCGAGTTTAGCGGCGACCTCAGCCAGGACGTGGTGGTCGGCATGCCCCGAGGCGCCAACCTCACCGGCAAGGTCAGAGGCCGCCGCCGGGGCGAGGTCAGCGGTCTCTGTCAAGGGAAGGGCGCTGGCCCCCGTCAGAGTAATGCTAGCGACATTTGACGGATCTCAAATGTGTTCGGGGTCGGCGAATCAGCACCATACAGTGACCGACAACAGCATAGCCCGCCGGATCGGCCCACACCATATCGACAGCGCTGAGGTCATCAACCAAATGTCGCCATTGTTGCAAGGGGTGTGTCTGTTTGGTGGATTAATCGAAACGCCATGCGTTATTAATTATAAGCTTATATCCGTAATATATTTTTGGCACCATATTTGATCGATAATGGACGCAAAGTTACAGGATTTAATGACTGCTATAAGCACTGCCTTACACTACATGCCAGACCAGTGTCCCACGCGGTCCAGCTGACCCACCTTAACCTGACCCGCCCCGCTGACCTGGCCCCGCGGCAGGTGGTCCTATACGACAGCCGCCTGCGCAACCTGTTCAACACCACCGGCGAGCAGATCGGGGCTTACTTCGGCTACTCGGTGTGCGTTGCCGACGTGAACGGCGACAAGCTGGACGACATTGTGATCGGAGCGCCGTTCTACACCGACTTCGCCAACACGGAGGGGAAATACGAGACCGGCAGGGTAGTCGTCGCGTACCAGAACCCAAACGTGAGTCAATAGCGGAAAGAGTGCCTGTCGGCTGCGCCAAGACCGTAGGTTGGCGAGCTTAGGTCTGTAACGATTTTCTCACATTATTTTGACGGCAGAGTTATGGGGCCGCTCATACATAACGTTACACATGGAGAGGAGATTGTCTCTGATGGAGCATAACCGAAGCGTGTTAAAGGATGAGAGTTTTGGACGGCGTCACGTTACGTTCAGGTGTGGTTGCATTTTGCGATCAAATGCTTGAACAATGTTTCAAAACCCTAAAGCCGGATGTCGTTACTTACCTCTCATGACCAGCGACGCGCCCTTTCTGTTGGGCATCTATTGCGCGATGAGCGACCATAAGGATGTCATCTTTTTGGACATAACACTCGACACAGCGTAAAGGGACGAGGAGTTTTTCATCCAGGGTAACCAGCGCGTCACCAGAAAAGGAGAGATTAGCACATGGCAAAACGCGTGTCGCAAGTTATCGCGGCCACCTTGAAAACGAAACTTTCGCCTAAGTCTTTGCACGTTTTTTATGCAAGGGATGACGCTCCACCACACTCACAAGCAAGTCTGTAAGGACAGCTGAGCTTAATATCCTGGGAAAGCACTGCCCGCTAGCTATACCTAAACCATGCCCAAACCGTGCTAGACAATTACATAAAGCATCCCAAATGTGTAACGAGACGCGCAAGACATGTCACCGCACACGTAATACTAATGAGCGCGCGGCGGCGCACCGGCCGCGGTGCGGGAGCGCGCGAGCCGGCCGGGGCCGCGTGCTGCGCCAGACCGACGACTGAGCAGCCGTGCATCATCCGAACGGCGCACCTCATTAACCCGTGCAACGGTAACGGGCGATCCCACGTCCAGATTGGGCGCGATCGGCTCGGCTCAGCCGCTCTATCAGGGCGGCATCTCCCGGACTCGGCACACTGCAGCTCGGTTGTCCCCGGACCCGGAGAGGAGGGGCCCGGCACTCTGCTTCTCTCTCTCTCTCTCTCTCTCTCTCTCTCTCTCTCTCTCTCTCTCTTCTTCTCTCTCTCTCTCTCGCTCTCTCTCTCTCTCTCTCTCTCTCCCTCTCTCTCTCTCTCTATCTCTCTTCTCTCCTCTCTCTCCTCTCTCTCTCTCTCTCTCTCTCTCCTCTATCTCTTCTCTTCTCGTCCTCTCTTCCTCTCTATCCCTCTCTCTCGTCTCTCTCTCTCTCTCGCCTCTCTCTCTCCCTTCTCTCTCTCTCTCCTCTCTCTGTCTCCCTCTTCTCGTCTATCTCTCTTCTCCTCTCTCTCTCCTCTCTCTCTCTCTCCTCTCTCTCTCTGATGTAAACCGTCTGGTGGTGGCCGCCGGCCTGAGGTGTCGTCTCATGTCGGACCGGGCCGTAGCCGGCGCCCTCCTACCGCCGGCCCCGCCCCTCCTACCTTGGCCGGACCGCTTGACCGCTCTGTAATAGGAGGCTTGGAGGCGGACGGCCGCCACAATGGCACCACCAGTCACAACACCATACAATTTTGTATGAGGCTGATGGCTGGCTACTCACTTATAGCGAGGTAGGGCTTTGTTGGCAGCGGTAGTGCGTTATTCCCCGCTTGATCGCTCCTTTCACACCGCAGAGAATCTATCGCCTTTCTCCCTAGTCGGTAAGGCTAATCTGCTTCATCATCTGATGCGCAGCACTGCCATACGTGATTCGATGTCAGAGCTCGTGGACGGCTCATCTCGTATGTAGGCAAGCACGGCATAGTTTAATGACACGTGCATGTGAAATGTGATGATTATTGGCCACCCTCAGCTTGATTTAGCCGCTACACGCGTCGGCTGCTAGCCTCGCAGATCATATAAATGCTGATATAATGTGCGCGCAAGCACTTACCTGTCCGGCAGTGATGTGTTCATCGTGCCAAAGGAATGTACAAAGTGGCGTGAGGATGAACATTGTGACGCTGTCCCGGAAGCTAGCGAACCGCCGGTATGTGTCGCTCTCACTTGTTACATCTCTCCCTCTTTCCCTTCCCCTCTCCTTATGCTTTCTTCTCTCCCTCTCTCTCTCTCTCTCTCTCTCTCTCTCTCTCTCTCTCTCTCTCTCTCTCTCTCTCTCTCTCTCTCTCTCTCTCTCTCTCTCTCCTAATTCGCTCTTCTCTTCTCTCTCTCTTCTCCATCTCTCTCTTCTTCTCTCTCTCTTCTCCATCTCCCTCTCTTCTCCTCTCTCTCTCTTCTCTCTCTTTCTCTCTCCTAATTCTCTCTTCTCCTCTCTCTCTCTCTCTTTCTCTTTCTCTCTCTCCCTTCATTTCTCTTCTCTCCCCAACTCGCCCCACCTTTTTCCCCTGTACCTCTCACTCCTTTGATCCTACTGATCTTCCTCCCTTCTTCTCCTCCTCTCCCTGACTGTCTCACTCCCTGCTCACACCTCCCTCCGTCTCATTCTCCCTCCTCCTCTGAGTGTGCCTGTTTTTACGTCGTGTTTGTTTGCGCGGACGCCGTGGTTGTTTGGGCCGTCATCTCCGGACATCCGTCTCAGTTTTGTCTGCGCGCCGTCGCCGCCCTGCCGTCACGCTCTGCCTTCCCCTCCCCTCCCCCCCCCCCCCGACGTCAGTGACGAGGCGCCCAGTACCCACACCTCAGCGACTCGACAGGCGCCGGCTCGGACAGAACATGCAAAGTATTCATATGACCCCATTCCCGGTCGGCATGTTTCGAGCGGGTGCTTTCTACGGCGTCCGTTTTTATTTATTCAAATTGATACGTGCACAAGGTGCGTTGAAAGAGCTCCAAGTGCCGACGTATGGTAACGGTGCGCTGATTGGGGCCAAATAAAGTCATCAGTCGGCAATATGGCAGCACCGGCTGCCACTGAGCTCCGCTATCTGCCGGTCGGCGGTGGTCGAACATCGTCTAAACTGCAGTGTACCTCAAATTTATCCCAGCATTCATCACTGCGTACATAGGCAAGGGTCTCGAGCGAACAACGGCCTTCTCCGAGCGCAGCTCAGGACCGTTTTTATGTGCTTCGCCCGCGCTGATAGCTTGTTTTGGTTCACAGCACAGCTTCAAGCGGTTCGACTTCCTCGACGGCGGCAAGTCCAAGTCTCGGTTTGGCCTGGCGCTCACCTCCCTCGGGGATGTCGACTGGGATGGATTCGAGGGTAAGCTAAAAACTTCACGACCAACGACATCGTGCGCCTCGTGACCTTGCCAGGTGACCTCGACCAAGACCGGTGTTAGTCAGGCGTCCCTGCAGGGGTGTCGCCCTGGAATCGGCCCGTGCAGTCCTGCAGATTAGCCTCCTTCTCCTCTTGCTAATGCCCGCCGAGCCTTATGAGTCGTCCATCACGCGGCGGCCTTGGCTGTCCCCGCTAACGGCGGCATAAACAAATGTTTGGTGACGGCGCTGCGCTGACCCGGGCCGGCTAACGCCGCCGACGCACGCCACGCCACGCCCCTGCGGTCGCGGACTGACCGCCGCCGGCCGCCCTGTGACCCCGCCCGGACACCGGCGACACGGCCGCCGACCGGCTGATCAGGGGCCGCGGCGCCGGGTCAGGGAGATCACGAACACGGGCGGCATTTCGGCCACCGCGGGCAGAGATGGGCTGACAGATTCGAGGAAAGCTTTCAGACCTCTTGGAATATATTCGAGACGGAGGGTGCGGGTGGTAGACGGAATGGTAGCCACGGAATGGGAACCGGTCGAGGCGCAGCAGGGTAGACTTTGACGTGCTGGATTGATGCTGCGATGACCTCCTTGATACGATGCTGTAAAATCGTGCGCCACATTTCGTTTTTTTACACAGCCCAAGGCATCACTTGAACAGGCAAAATTGTTGGAGACAAATGTCGCCAGAGATATCCCATCAATCCGACGTTATTCAGATTATGACTTCATTGTTTGTCGTCATGATGCTAGAGCCAATAACTTGTATCTTCGCATTATGCACTGACTCGATGATATGATCCCAAGTGCTTCCCACAAGACGTTTGTCTCCACATTACTCAGCTGTTGTGATCGTGGGCTATGCTCGATAAAAACGTGCCAGAAGTGGCTATCGTCCGTAAACGGTGAATCAAACCCACTTTAAGGTGCCATAATTTAAGGTGTTTTGAGCGTCCCATGCGCGGATAAATTAAAGCTTTTTGTTACCGGGGAACGCCGGTTATTTATTGAGGCCGTTGTGCCTTGGTAGATTGTATCACCTGCTATACGTTGGTGATAGAAGCCACTGCAGCTCCCTGCCATCAAAATGTCTGCCCTGAGGACTGAGTCCCAGCTGGCAGGAAACGGCGGAAACATGGTATCGTTCAGTACGAGGGACAGGGACGCATGCAGGTAGCGCGTAATGATTACAAGTTCAGTTTGCTTTCAGTGCTATGAAAAGGTTTACATCTTAATGGGGCTATCCTTGCGTTGCAGAAGTTGTCTTTTTCCATCATTTCCAATTACAGCTCTTTCCAATATTCCAGTATCCACGCATGCCACTCTAATTCAATGGAATGCGGTTTTCTCACAATAAGTCATGGGGAGCAAGAACTAGAGTTGCGCGGCCGACCGAGCAGGAGCGCTGATTTATCTCTCCTCTTCTGAGTATGCGCACCGATTCGATACCTTTCACCAACGGCCCGAAACAACGGCGAGCACTGACCTTCTTGCCATGCCACAGCACTTAAAGTACACTTACGTCGCCACCGATCGAGGTTGTACTCACTGATCTACCCCGCTGTCGAGAAGCCTATGTGCGTTTATCACCCTTTCCTCCTGTGTTTGCGTGCGCCGATGTGCGTGCTGACCTGGCCGGTGTCCGCTGATTGTACGCGTCGCAGGGGGTGCCTCTGCACGATGGGGGCCCGCATGGTTTGCTCTGTCGGCAGCCAGTACCCAGGGACGGGACGGGCCCTTTCTAATAATGCCGACACCAACGCCAGGCCCGATCATAAAGAGTTTATGATCTCCCGTCTCCTTCCGATGGCCACAACGAGATGCCATTAAAACGCCATAAATATGCCCGGCCGGTAGCAAAAACCAGCGACGGGTGGCCGGTCGGCGGAGACCACAGGGAGACGCATTTCAATGAGCTAGGTAGGGTGGCGTTTCAGTCGTGGGCTGCGCGCCTCGCACGCATGGACTCCTCTCGTGCCGGGGAGGACTGGGCCAACGAGGACACGATGTGCTTAGACTGCTTAGACTGTAAAGGACGAGCCAAGACGGGTATATATCCCATGCCTTGTCCTATTCTTTGGCTCGTGGGCGAGTAGACGTCACGAGTCAGCTAGATCGTCTGTCGCATTATGCTAACAACTAACGCGTTATATGCTGGCAATCGACATATTAGCTTGTCATGACTGTTCACTGGAATGACACTGGCAGCATTACGCATACTCACTTTGGGCCAGTTCCGCGCAGTTGATCCGCTACCTTAGTCATGGAGGCGCACTGTCGACGCGAATAAGTGCTTGTTTGGTTGCCTACAAGCTGGCGTGTAACGCATGCTTCGAGCAGTCTCCTCACGTCTGGGACTCGTCTGGCAGATATTGCGGTCGGCGCTCCCCACGATGGGATGGGCGACGAAGGAGCTGTCTTCATATTCCATGGCACGAAGAAAGGCATCAGCGGGAAACCCACCCAGGTGACCGATGGCTGGCAAAGCTGTGAGGGAATGTGCTGTGTTGCGTATCCATTTATAATGGCTTACATAATACACGACAGTGTTGTTTGCCATTTATTTGATGACTTCTGCGCCAACATCAGTCCTGACGGCATGGCGCGCACTTTGGGAGCCTTAAGATCTCACTGAAGGTCAGACAGGGTTCGTGCAGTTATATGCACTCGTGAAAACACTCATAGAGCACTTACCTGGGAACCTCATTGAGATACCTGCATGAAACTTGCCGCATTATGCTCCGGACATCAAGCCGCGTGTCTCCCCTGCGCTCTCTGCAGACAATACTGGCGTCTGAGTTTGCGCCTCAGCTTCGCTCGTTCGGGTTCTCCGTGCATGGCGGGCTCGACCTGGACGGCAACAAGTACCCGGACCTCGTGATCGGGGCCCACGACTCCGGCGCCGCCGTGTACCTCAGGTGAGCCAGGGTCCGGACCGCGCCCTCCTGGGGCGCCTCCGTTGACCGCGCGGGTAGAGCTGCCTCGTGATGTCCCAGGAAATCATATCCATACTGGTATATTTGGATGCGCCGGGTCCGTTGAGCCCCTGCAACGGGCGGTGTTGCCACGGACCACAGGGGCCGTGCCTGTGACATGCGAGGTCAGGCCCCGACATGTCAGGTCAGGCCCCGATAAACCCGACATCAAGTCAGGCCCATCATGTCAGGTCAGGCCCCACATGTCAGGTCAGGCCCCGATAGACCCGACATCAGGTCAGGCCCGTCATGTCAGGGGATCCCCCGACATGTCAGGTCATCCCCCGCCATGTCACGCCATCCCCCGACATTTCAGGTCAGGTTCCGATATGTCAGATTATTTTCTGACATGCCAGGTCATCCCCGATATGTCAGGTTACCCTCCGACATGTCAGATCAGGCCCTGCATGTTAGGCCATCCCCAAAATTTCAGGCCATCCCCGACATCTCAGGTCATCCCCGACATATTCAGGTCACCCGCCGACAAGTCAGGTCATCCACTGACATGTCAGGTCAGGCCCGACTTTGCGGCTTCTGACGGCGCGGTGGCGCGGCCGGCGCCCGCAGGTCACGGCCGGTCGTACACGTGCAGTCGTCGACGGAGTACCAGTCGGCCGGCTCCCAGCTGCTGGACCTGGAGGACGAGAGCCGTCGCTGCCGGCTGGAGGACGGCCGCCAGGGCGTCTGCATCCCCGTCCGCTTCTGCCTCAGCTACGACGGGGTGGGCGCCGATAAACGTGCCGGTGAGCTCACGGTGCCGTGAAGACGGCCACGCTTGAAGCCATGCCTTGCAGGTTACCTTCCCATTGGCACACCGCTATCCTTAACTGGATACAATCGTATTCAAAACAGTTCGGCTATTAGCATCTACAGTGAGAAATAAATCACATCATGTATTGAATGCATGCACTGTATTGGCATTCCATGACAGCGTATTGTATTTCGTTTGGGTCTGTTTGGTATTTATCTATTTTGTTTTGAAGACGGGACGAAGTGGCATAGGGCGATGCCAGTGATGGTACGATCTGCATCGCGTCACCAATTTGATAATGCATCACCGCGTGCGGCCAACACCCTGCGGCTCATCTCTTTGTCTGTTTTACAGAATTCGAGGTGGAATTTCGCCTGGACGCGCGCCGGCCCAAGTCTCCACGCATGTTCCTCCGTGACCGTCCGGGTGCGTCCAGCATGAACGTGACGGCTCGGGCGGCGAGGGGCGCCCAGTGGTGTCACGAGGTCGTCACATTTGTGGAGGTGAGACGACGGCTGACGGGTCACCCCCCTCCCCCGCACCACGGGGAAGGGAGAGGGCGGAGGACGAAACAACGTCGGCAACGATTCATTTTTATCACGGGTTGTTGTTGGTCGTATCGCCTTGTTCACAGTTTTCACTCTAAACATGACACGGGCTTGTGTCGTTGACTTGGCCACCACCATTGCCACCCTCACTGGTCGCCAGTAGCATCTAGTTCGAGAAGTAACCAATTCCCCTGACGTTTCTGTGACGATGCACCAATGTAGCCGTTGTCTTCGAGAACGCGTCTCTGGCTAACGTTGGGATTTCCAAGAGGCGCTTCAACTCGATGTCCACAGTCTCGCAAAGACAGTCTTGCCAGTGCACGATTGTGACTGTCGTCCTCGTTTTCAGGAGACAGTGCGGGACAAACTGTCGCCTCTGGTGACGGAGGTGCACTACAGTCTGGTGACGCGCCGGCCGGGCCGCCAGACGGGCGCGCTGTGGCCTGTGCTCAACCTGGACCAGCCGCCCTTGGCCAGCGACACCATCTCCATCCAGAAGAACTGCGGCGTGGACGGCGTGTGCGTCCCGGACCTACAGATGACAGCCAGACCGTGAGTTCTGGGATCTGCAGATGACGGCCAGGCCGTAAGTGCTGGGACCTACAGATGACAGCCAGACTGTAAGTGCGGAAGTATGCAGATGGTAGCCAGACCGTAAGTGCTGGGATCTGCAGATGACGGCCAGACCGTAAGTGCTGGGATCTACAGATGACAGCCAGGCCGTAAGTGCTAAGATTTGCAGATGACAGCCAGGCCGTGAGTTCTGGGATCTGTAGATGATGGCCAGACCGTAAGTGCTTGGATCTGCGGATATTTGTTCCGCTGACATTTCTCCTCCTCATTATCCCCTGCGTGTGAGATCACTGGATTTGAGCTTGGTTAACTACCGGGGACCTTGCTACACCGAATCATGCACGTTGATGGAGTTCACATTGCTAAGGCTGCGGTTACACCTAACGCCTTCAGTCTTATGTGCCCGTGTCGAGTCGTCATGTGCGCCGCTGCCAAGCACTGCCGTCTCTTTGTGACTGTTTCATGGCTAGCAAGGTAATCCAGTGTGGACAAAGATCGTCCGATGACAGGTGAGTGCCGCCCTGCCGGCTGCCACGCCGCCAACAGAAGTGAAAACCGACTCATATGAGAACTGCTGACGGCTGGGACTTATTCAATAGTTAAATACGGCCAGGCTTTCGCTGGCGATGCCCTTTGGAAGACGCCTGGCTCTGCGGTCGGAGGGAACTTATGAGGGGCGATGGGAACGTTCCAGCTGTGCTTGATGCTACATGCACGCTCAGCAAAGTTGACAATTGATGTCGGCTCAATCTGCTGTCCCTTAGACCAGTTCTTGTACACCGACAGTGTAAAGCATTGCTACTATATGAAGACCACGATATTCTGTCTGCCACAGACTACAGAGTGCCCAATTCGCTGAATGAGATCGGATACAGTTGCACTGTTGTCCTGTCATGCATTCCTGTCCCTAATAGCTTGTAATTTGACACTTTCTTTGGCATGCCTGATGGCAAACTGAAACGATATATTTCAATGCCCATTTATTTTTAAGCCAGGCTCGAGGCTGCAAAAGTTCCAGCAATGCATGACGGTGTCCACGATTGACAACCCCTACCTCCAGCAGCAATCACGCCACATACCTTCTCGGGTCCCGTGAGAGGCTCACTCTAGACGTCACCGTCTTCAACGGTCGCGAGGACGCCTTCGAGGCTCTCTTCTATCTGGATCTGCCCGAAGGTGAGCTCGTTCGACACTGGATGGGCCGTTCTGTAACATCTGTGGCACGCGGGGTCATCCCATTTGTTTTGCGTTATGGTGATGGTGCTGCTATGGCTTCAACCGCAGTTTCAGACGTGCTTGGTCACCCATCGCAGGTGAGCCGCTACATGCTTTTAGTGTATAGGGCTACTACACCGATAAATTAGAAACGTTATGCCATGGTACCACTCAAGAGATCTTGCTGCATTGGCGCTGTCAGGAGGTGTGGAAGGCCTGATGTTGGAGCGTGCCTAATCCTCATCTGACTACGGCCCCCAATATACGCGGGGTGGGCCACGTGGTGTCGCTCGAGGATGTGCAGCTTCACACACCCTCGAGCTTGTGGTGTCTGATTCGCACACCCTTGCCTATGGTGTCGGATTCCTACAGGTGTGGAGAGTGTACAACAGAGGCTTTACCTCTGGGGTCTGACTGCCGAGGGTGTGGAGCGTGTACTAAACAGACTTTACTGTGTCTAACGCCCGCAGGCGTGCAGCTTGCGCACCTTGTGTGTGGATAGTGTGTAAAGAGTCCGTAGTTGACCTGACTGTGGTGTCTGCTGTGCGCAGGCGTCGACTACGTGGTGACGGAGCGTCCAGTTGACCTGATGTGGTGGTCTACTGTGCGGCAGGCGCGACTACGTGGTGACGGAGGTGTCTAGTTTGACCTGACTGTGGTGTCTGCTATACGCAGGCGTGGACTACGTGGTGACGGAGCGTCCGGTTGACCTGACTGTGGTGTCTACTGTGCGCAGGCGTCGACTACGTGGTGACGGAGTGTCTAGTTGACCTGACTGTGGTGTCTGCTATATGCAGGCGTCGACTACGTGGTGACGGAGCGTCCGGTTGACCTGACTGTGGTGTCTACTGTGCGCAGGCGTCGACTACGTGGTGACGGAGTGTCTAGTTGACCTGACTGTGGTGTCTGCTGTGCGCAGGCGTGGACTACGTGGTGACTGAGCGTCTGGAGGACTCGGCCCCGCAGCCGCTGCTCTGCTCACTTCGGGAGCTCGGCCACGAGGTGCTGGTCTGTGACCTGGGCAACCCTCTGCCGGTCGGCTCCAAGGTAACGCCACACGCCGGCCGCGAGCCGCCGCACTCAGCGCGTGTCGTGTGTGTCTTGACATGGCTGTGCTCTGTTATGTTGGATCACCACATGGTCATAGAACCGGTCTCTTGCGCGGATTCCTCATTGGCTGCGGTGACCGTGACCTGGAGGCCACAGACAGGAACATAAAAGACATTTTCGTTGAGAACGAGTGCTTGGTTGTTTGTAACACTGGCATATATAACTGCAATACGTTGCGTAAATGACTGACGTTCCGTGGCACGGAGGCCCTTAATACAACGTTTGAATTCACAGAGTTTTACTTTAGCTTTGGTTGGATAACAGTGCCAGGTTCAAGTTGCGTTCCGCAGCGTCCGTGCTGCCACCTAAAGCCGTTTTGTCCAACGCATGTAATCACGTCTCTCTTCTGTTTAGCTCCATGTAAGCCACTCACTGGCCCGCGCTGTCCGCCAGGTGCACTTCCAGGTGCATCTAATGCCCGAGAGCACATCAGAGGAGCGACAGCGTCACTACCGCTTCACCCTGACGGTGAACAGCACCAACGCCGAGGCCGCCAGCACGGTCAGCGACAACCAGCTGTCGCTGACAGCTGCCGATCCACATCCGCACCGAGCTCGCCATCTCAGGGTAGTGGAAGGTCACCGCCGCCACCGAGCTCGCCATGTCAGGGTCAGTGGCAGGCCACCACCGCCACCGCGCTCGTCATCTCAGGGTCAGTGGCAGGTCGCCGCCGCCACCGAGCTCGTCATCTCAGGGTCAGTGGAAGGTCACCGCCGCCACCGAGCTCGCCATCTCAGGGTCAGTGGCAGGTCACCGCCGCCACCGAGCTCGCCATGTCAGGGTCAGTGGCAGGTCACCGCCGCCACCGCCCTCGTCATCTCAGGGTCAGTGGAAGGTCACCGCCGCCACCGCGCTCGTCATCTCAGGGTCAGTGGCAGGTCGTCGCCGCCACCGAGCTCGCCATGTCAGAGTCAGTGGCAGGTCACCGCCGCCCACGAGCCTGCTCGTCCTCGCAGCCGGTCAGAGACCCGTCCGTTTATCAATCCCACGGTTGGTGGCATGCTCTCGCGGTCCGATGTAAATGCACACTGGGAATGGTGAGCCACAGGTGTTCACGTGCATGCGGAGCTCTCCATGTGCTGATCAGTGGCTGGTCCTCGCTGCCCCATGTGCTCTCCAGACTCTCCGAGAGATGTGCAAAGTCGATTTACGTGGGCACGAACCCTGCCGTCTTCAGTATGCGTCCAACTCGTGCAGAACCGTTTGGACTTTCTATGTGATCACTTGTAAGTTCTGTGTGACCTGTATAGCCCGAAACGATGTCATTGATTACCGTTGGTTGTAAAACCCGCATTAGTCTCGTCTTTTTGTGGCAAAACAAGCACCAGAATCAGCCAGGTAGCCAGAATTTTCCTCAAGGGAAAGGGGTAGCGGACCAAATTTTCTCCAATCTCTCGGGCATTTGAGACGGATTGCCTGCGAAATAACCGAGTACGTAGTTACCTCTTGACTCAGGGAGGGGGGCGGACCATAGTCGCTTGGGCTGCCCCTTCCCCTTGGCTACTTTTCTGATAGATAGAGGAGTTCGCAGATCAAAACAAATTTTGAAAAGAAGTGATGACGGATGCGACATTTCTGCCATTATACACCAGCGCGGCGTTTTCACCAGCAAGTAATTGAAACGTCGGCGTCTGAGTTCTTACAGAGCCATGAAACACTCTGAACAGACCCTGCCTGCACGCGGTGTGATTTATGTGAAGCCACGAGGGTCTGTGCCAACCAGTTTTTAAGGAATAACAAAAGAAAAACAAAAACGAGTCTCATGACATAGATTCTACTCATCTTAGTCTTGTTTTGGACGGTTGTTGAGGGCCGAACGACACAGTTTCTACGTAAGGTAAGCAGATTTCATGCCTTCAGAAGGTACTAACCCAATGGAGTATTAGGAACAGTAGTGGGTATATATGTCCGCAGCACCTGTTGGCGGAGCGCGAGATTGATTGTTTGGAAGAGCAGATAAGCCTGCTCTTAGCTCTGGAAAAGATATGAACGGTGATGGCCCTTGCATACGAAGCGCTAAAAAACCAAAGGCAGTGTCTCTGGCGGTACATCCCGTTCATGGCGTTCGC